ATTTTTGAGGTTTTCACAATTAAATATAAAAAATAAATTTCTTTATAATATTTCTTTTGTAAATAATGCATATAAACAGTAAATATTATTTTAAAATAATTTTTAAATATGTACTATTTTTTCTTTTATTTTACTACTTTACAAATGATGTTTTTTGTGTATATCTCCAAATTATATTTTATTTTCATTAATATTACAGTTTCATTAATATTACAGTACATTAATATTACAGTCTAAATACGAGTACAAAGCAATTTGTATTACAAATGCATCTGTTGCAGCGATATTTAACATTATAAACGTTAAATATCTAGCGCTATAATTTGCAATATATGTAATTTATAGAGCCTTTCTAATTTACTTTTCAATTTTTATTACGCAATTTCCAGTGCTATCAATATTTTACAAGATAAAAGTATTTTTTCGATAAAAACTCAAAGCATTTCTATATTAAAGGAGCGAGAGAGAAAACACTAAAGCATGCGAGAGAGACAACTACTGTTTGACGATGAGATCCACGGACTAAGGAATAGAGGGACGGTGCACAAGCTGTACCGGGGGAGCACGTTTGCGGCGGGGGGGGGCCGCCATATTCGTTTAGTAATCACCACACATAGAACTCACTATTTGCGTATATGTGAGAAATGAAAGTCAGATCCTGCGCACAATAAACAAAATAGGAAATAGAAATAGAAATAATTATTAAATATTAGAAATAAGAAATTGGAATTATTTATTTTAAAAATAAAAAGAATAGAAAAAATTAATGCATAAATTAAGAAATAAGAATTGGAACTAATTAATATATTTTATTCTCTTAGATGTAAAATAATTTCTCTTTTTAATATTAAATGTTTATTGCTATTTCTAATATTTTGTCTACTGTATGCAGAGCCTCAGAGTAATAAAAATTAAAGTATTTTATAAAATTTATAATACAACAATAATAAAATCGCCTAATCTTTTTATGCTTGTCATTCGTTATGTCTAGTGGCACCACTACACGAGTGTAACCATGTCACAGACACAGAATCTCTGTGTGAGAATCGTTACATCAATATGGCGGAAAGCAGTCCCCCCCGCACGCTTGAGTTACCATCCCCTCTCGCCTAAACTAGGACTTTAGACTCAGTCCCTCTATTCCTTAGTCCGTGATGAGATCTCATTGCCCCTCTTGCCGCTCGCCCCGCTCAGCATTTGCCCCTCTTGCCGCTCGCCCCGCACAGCATTAGCCCCTCTTGCCCCTTGTCCCTCTTTGCGCATGAGGTAACCTTCTCTCTATAGATCTTGGGAAAAAGTGGCCCTTAGAATTTTATGAAGAATCTAGTATTAAAAACTTTTCCACCAGTTCTGATACACCCTGTATATAGTTTTTTTCATGTAAACAATGTGCTTCTCGTGATTTTGCAAAACTGTGAAATTTTTTGTAAAATTGCATTAGATAAATTGATAAATTATATTATTGACATTTACATAAGATATGATAATTTCATACATTTTCTGCACTGAAAATAAAATACAATTTTATACTAACGCTTTAGAGAGAAAGTACAGTCAAAAAGTAGAGGATGAGAAGCAAAGCTTTTTATAAAAAATGTAAACTACGGTTCAAATTATGCATTCAAATTAAAAGAACTGGTAGAGAGTCCTCAAAATTTAGTTCTATCATACCATCCAATCGAGACGGATCGTTTATAAAATTGACAGAAAACTACCAATTATTAACACGCTGCAGATTATTGTTGTATGAACATTTAAGCAAAAGTTTTTGTTTCAAAAGCAAGTGTGAAGCAGAATAAAAAAGGCAATAAAGTTTTTTGTTTTCAGGCGCACAAAGATTTTTCATCACTTTTATTTCTTTTTTATATATCGATTTCTGGTAATAATTGAAAATAAGCAAAAGTTAGGAAAAAGAAATCAAAACACATTGAAAAATCTTTATTTGTTTAAAAGTGAAAAACTTTTACATGTATGTACATACATACGTACATACATACATACACACATACATACATACATACATACATACATACATACATACATACATAAATCCACAATTTGCATAATTTGTATAAAAATATATTATTTTTATTTTTCATTAGATTGGCATTAGATTGGCATTAAAATGTTAAAATTTGTATATATAAAGCTATGCAAAAATGATATTGGACAAGCATCAATCTGCTCTTGTAGGAGCTCTTGTATGTACAGAGTTATTAGTTTTGTAAAGATATACTTGTGCTAAGATAGCAATGTCAATCGTGACTTGAAGAGCACCGCACACTTGGAATTGTATAGGAGTATCCCTCAAGACAAAGTAACACGTCTTGAAAATATCTCCCACAGTCCACATAGCTACCATAGCAATACTGAAAAAAAAAAGAATTTCTCAAATAAATAATGTATATACAATTTCTTATATATATGTATATATATAAGAATTCTTATATATATATATGTATATATATATATATATGTATAAATTTTGTTTACCTCATTCCTACAGTAGACTTATTAGCTGAATTACGTAAAAATTGAGGAACTCCTAGCATGGCTTCAATTAATAATGCTAAGAACCCAATAATTTCAATAAATATTGGTATATCCATAAATAAATACATTGATACACTACCTATACTGGCAAATAAAATCATAAAACCCAGGTAGGACTTGAAATCAGTCCATTTCCAAAAAAACCTAGCATCCAAATCTGTGAAATTAAAAGATTCAGTATCATCTGCAAGTGCAAACATTAAAAATAATTAAGTAGAGTATTTCAACTTGAAAGGTTAATAAATTAAACTTACCTGTAAGTACGCGTTCCTTTACTTTAATTATCTGTGTTCTGTTTTGCACATTAATGCAAAGCTTAATCATAACAAACATTGCTACAATCATAAGCATACTTTGCAATAAGAGTGGAAGCTCATAGTGTTTGCCAAACCTGTAACGAAAATATGTAAAATGTGTAAGAATACCTCACTCATATTGCATAATAGTAAACACATTCAGAAATATATATATAAAATCAACATGACACAAGAAAAAAGGATACGTATGTGATAAATTACTATCTAGCAAGTACAAACCAAAATAGTATACGAAGTGTATTAGCGACCAGAAGGGTGAGACAAACATAAAGGGAAAATCCTTCTGCATCTTCTTTTCTTTTGATCTCCTTGTATTGTGGCACATAAGGTACAATTGCACCAAAAATCATCGCGCCGGATGCAACACAATTGGTTATATTTTTCAAGTTCAACTCGTATGTGCCGTCCATATTTACGAGCTTCTATTTCTAACATATCTTGCGTTATCACTGATAAATTATATCACAAAGACAATAATTCTACATACGATTGGTATTATTTTTGTAGGTTATAAGTTCAACTATATACGTCGTTCTCGTTCTTCCATCGATAATATATACCACACAAGAGCGTAACTACGATTGATAATGTATTATTACATTCCATTTAATTTTTAACTGACACTGATAACCTTAATCTTATTGGCAAAAAAAAAGACTATGATATTGGATCAAATTTCATCTTTGACGTGTCGACATTTTTGCTCCAGACAGTTCGTTCACGCTTTCTTATATTTTCCTTCTTGGATTGTCAACATAATATATAATAATATAATAGTATAATAATATAATAATATAAAACTAAATCATAAAATTAATACTGAATTACGGGCTAACTGTTCAAATACTGTTAGTCACACAAAGGTCGATAAAGTCAACTGTCTTTAATAGTACGTCGTCGGTGTCCGAGCCATGAGGCATCAACCATTCCCACTGGGTTACGGAAAGTTTAAAAATAGTAGAATACGTGGTGGTGAACTGCCGCATAAACTGCCTCAGATTTCGATTCTTGGATTGAGCAAGTTTTAGTACCTTGTATTTGAAATAGACTACTAGGCTTCCCAATTATGGCTTCGAAAGTTACGCTTTCTCAAGCTCTAGGAACAGATGGGAGTGATTACAGTCACAGACAGAAAATCGCCGCGCATTACCAAGTCAGGTGAGAAAATCCAAAAACGTGCGATCATTTTTAAAGGTCGGCTGCAAGATTCGCAAATTTTATTGATCAATAACAGGTTAATATAAATCTGCATTTAATTAAACGTTTCTGTTTTGATGACTTGTTTACACTGTGTATATATATGTATTATGATTGCTATGCAATAAAATGTGTACAAAATATCAACTTTTATCACTTTTTATTATTGTTGATACTGTGCTTATTTTTAGTGCAACAAATAAATCAAGATTGAAATATTGTATATTCTTCCACTATCTATTACTTGTTCTCATGGCTGCCAAGCTGTCCGCAGATATATTAGATCGTTGTGATATTTTCATCTTAGAAATAGAGGAGTTGCAGGTACCACAGGTATAGTAAAGAATATCTTAATTGTGTCTATAGACCCTTTAAAATATAAACCCTTTAAAATAATCATTGTGCGTGATTTGGCTAAAAATTAATTTTAAGAGAGTATATGTGTTATATAAACATATGCTTTATATATTCTTTTTCGTTTGTAATATTTAGTCTTGCTTTTTTTTGTACCATATATATATATTAGTACTTCTTTGATAACTTTATCATTTCTTTTATTTCAGCCATTATGGTGGGAATACATATGGAGCACTAGTTTACTACTATCTTTCTTTGCTCTCTCAGCGATTAAAAAAAATAGTCTTAAAACATTGCAGAAATATATGATAAGTATCGTTGTGCTAGGTTTGGGTCCATTGATTTATGCCATTGTTTATTACTTCAAAGATGTTTGGACATATTTAACTATAGGTAAATCTGAGGACATCCTACTGTGGCAGGTATTTTCAGAATCATTAACTTTTCTTAACATGTGCTGCATTCATTTTATATAATTTTTCATTCATGCAGTAAAATTTCTTTTATAAAGCATGTTTATATAAAATAATAAACATAATCAAAAAGGAAATGTAACATAAAATGTGTTATAAAACAAAAATATGAATAAGAAATATGAAATATTTTATTTTAAATAGATTGAATGAAAAGTTATTGATAATTTATGCAGCACAGAACATGTTAATTAAATTCCATAAGCAAAATTGCAATGCAAAGTAAATTAAATTTTTCCAAGATTTTATATATTGTATGGTTTCTTTTTCAGGGTTTACCATATGGCGTACTTTGGTACGCCTTTATTCTTTTAGCTTCGCAAGTTCATTGTTTCTCTTTGTATTTCTCCTGGAATCTACTGGTTGCTTGGAAAACACGAGGTGCGAAGAAAGTGGACTAAATCTCACAGATAATTGTGATTCTTGATAAACTGTAACATAGTTTATAAAAACTATGGCTATTACAGAATGAACTATATTTGTTGTTTATGATAAAAAAAAAGAAAGAAAAAAAACAGGGATATACAATTATTACACAAAAAATGGCATTCAAAATGGTGTACAATATATTAAAATGTACATAAATGAAAGAAACATTAATGTACTTATATGTATATATGAAAATATACATTACTTAATTAGATTTATACTTTTTTAAATAATGAAGTTTATGAGTTCTTATTACGAGATATTTTCCATATTTCCGTTGAATAACAAAACAATACATTTTTACAATGCGTTATCATTTTCATAAAAAGAGGGTATCTCAAGTGTTATAACGGTAAAAAACATAATATACTCTAAACAAAACTCAGGTAGAAAAAATATATAAAAATTTTTAAATTATATTTTGTGTTAACAAAAATGATTTGAATATCACATTTATTGTAGTATTAATTGTATAGAAGAATACCATTTTTCTTATTAATAATTTTTAAATTAAATACTATATTTTTTTATAGTTAATTTTTTATAGTGAATACAATTAAGGACAATTTAAATTGTAATCTGTACTGAATTCTTTGGTATTCAAAATCATAATATTAAATTAATCCAAAGCAAAAATTAATAACTATCACTAAAGTAATTATTGAAATAAGATTATATAATATTTACTGATTGCTGTAATAAAATTTATTTATTTTTTTATATTTGCAGTCAATCCTTATTACATGAATGCGAATATTTGAGTTTCTATACATGTACCATTTATGTGTACATGTTTAGAATGAAAAATCTAATATAAGCCAGATATCAAAATACAATTACTAATCATTGTTAATAATAATATAATTACTAATAATTATTATTTATACAATTGTTAACAAAAATGAAAATATTTTTATAAACACTTTAAGAAGCGTCTTGCGTTTCATTAACGTGAATAATACACTTTTTTTATATGAAATTTAAATGATAAGGTGCATTTTCTAGAATGTATGTAGTTCTCTCAGTGCTTTTCGATTATCTCCAAGTTCTCAAAGCCTCTTTGATAACTATGAAAATTTACCTAAGGCTATCAGATTTAACAGTGATTGAAATCACCCTCAATTTGACTTCTATGATTTCTCGTAATTTGTAATTAGTAGTTTTGGGGTATTTTCTATATATTACTCAGCTATATTCATTAGCACATAAAATAAATGCTATTTTGTGCGGCTACTATTTATTAGCAACCACATTAATTATTTCCTTATAAAATCGCCAACATTCTTTATTACAAAATAATAAATTGTGTTCAGACTATCCTGATTTTTAATCAATCATATCGTTTTTGGCGCGCGTAAGAATTAATTCTTTTTCAATCAGAATTAATCTGAAGTTATAAGTTTATGGTCCATAATTAGAACCTAGTCTTTATTATCACATTATGTTATTAATCACCATAGAGAATTAAGTCTATTGGATTTGGACCTCTCCTCGGTGTACTCGTTGATGTTTTCTCTGGATCGTTGGCTAAAACATTCGGAATTTATAATTATCGGGCAATGGTATTAGAAATAGAATGTTTTATTTGTCCAAATTTGTTAACCAATTTCTTTAATTAAATAAAGCTTGAATATACAATAAATAAAAGATATATTACCTGTTGCTGGATGCTGAATATTAAGACAGCTGTACCATTCTGTCATACTGATTTTTCTGTCATTATTAATGTCACAATATCTTGGTAATTTTTTACCGCACCTTCGAAGCTGCATATTATTTGCCACCATTGTGCGAAAACTTTTCCATTCTTTCCTTTCTAAGACCTGTGAAATATGATAATTAGGTATACGAATTAATGTTGCCTATGAAAACAACTAACTTTATCAACGTTGAATGTACATCTATTATTTTTTGTGATTTTTATTATTTATATACAAAATATAAATGGAAAGGATAAAATGTACATAACTGCAAATAGAATAATTCTTCTTAAAAAAATAAATCAAAGTTGTAAAATAATGTTTTCTTATGAGATTTTGTTTTCAATCAATTTTAAAAACCGAAAAAATGAAGATTATTTTGCCAAAAATACAAATATGATAGCAATATATCATTTCACTAATATTCAGATAACATGCATGTCTAAAAAATATCTCCAAAACATCCAAAAAACGTCAGAACGTCTTTTGCACATAAATATTAGTTGAGGAGATAAAAGCTTTTGTCGAATATTTTTGTATACCTTGTTTTTATTGTTATCAAGCATCACAAAATGCCATGTAGCTATATGTTCTTCTTTAGAAGTTTGCCATTTAGCGGTGGTTTCGTCAGAATCGGTGTTGGATGCCATCATTTTCTCCAGCATGAGATTCATCAAATCCCGAAGAAATTGTTGTTTCTTCATTTCTGGACATCCTGCCAACGTCAACTAATATTAATCAATATATCATAAATTTTTATATTTTGTGTATATAACAATATTGAAACAAGCTTAAAGTTGTTTACAAAATAAAGAGATTTTAAACTTAAAAATTTATGAGTTACATTTCTAAAATTTTGTCATGATTACCTTTCATAGGTCTACTGGGAGTTGGGACTGGATAACAATTTGGCGTGTGATCTTTCGAGGATGTGCCTGGTATTGGTTTACCTGTGTCCTCATATACGCACCAGCAATAACCCGAATAACATTGCACCCGACGATACCTTCCATCGGACGTGCAATCTGGAATATAATATTTGCCTTTCGAATTTTTCTTCTGATCTTCCAATGCTGATTTTTGATCCGATATGCAATCGGCCGCTGCAAGAAAAAACATGAAGAAATAATCATAGTTTATGATTATATAAAAATACAACTACAGTAGTGTCCGGACAATGCACTGTGTAAACGTCTTTTAGTCATTATAAGAACTTATCGCTAACTCCCTTCTTTCTTATAAAATATAAAATCGCCAATTACCATCGCTCTCCTCCGTAGTATCCTTAGTATCCGAAACATCGTCATTAAATATCGATAGAGAATGAATAGGTGCTGGACTGCCTTTCAAAACTGTGAAAGATACATAGATTTGTCACAAACTTATTCGTTCTGATTCTTATTCGTATTTGAAACAGGATAATCAAATTCGGATTGTTCTGTAATGAAATCAGAATATTAATTTATTTTTACCCTTCTCGTTCTGTGTTTCGTATTATATAATAGATATGTTGAACAAGAGTTCCATTTATATATATTATATATATATGCATTTTTATATGTGTAAATAAAATTTAATTAATATAATCACCTAACTTTTTTTTAGAAATAGGTTTATGTATTTTATACTTTGTGCTTTATTGGCCATATCGCATATTATTTCAAAACTTTTACAATATATAATTATTTAAATATTATATAGAGGGAATATATTATTCAAAGTTTTACTTAATAATAAATTATTAAAGAAGATAATAAAAATATAATAGTAAAGTGTGGAATGCACTTTGTACGTTTAATTTTATTTAAAAAATCGTGTAAGTAATGATAGATTAACAACCGCTATAAATTATCTAATTACAAGAAAAGTAATACAATATTTCCAATTATTCCAAAAATGCATTGTACAAAAATGCATTTTTTACGTATAAATCAATTAAAAGATGTAGATCAAAATTACGAAAGTTATTATATTTTTATGTTTTAAGCATAAATAATTATAATTGTAAATTAGTATAAAGAAAGTTTTGTATTTTTATATTTTCTAATTTATGCTAAACAAACTTTTTAGTAGAAAGTGTTGATTTTTATTGGATTCATAAAATTTCTTATTAAGAATAAAATAATTTTAATATTGTTGAAACTGGCAGGGTTGCGTTGCTATAATAAAAATTAAGCTTTTCCTCGAAAAATAAATGTCGCAGCGCGCTTTCGATGCGCAAGACTGGGACTCACCTTGGTCCGTGGGCCGTGTCCTTTGGGCCTCAGGGACCTCAGAACGCTCGTCTGCAGGGTTCAGCGACAAGAACAAACGTACTAAATGATAACAATGATGTCACTCAGCCGACCGGCCTTACCTACATATGTACAATTTTTGTTTTGTGTCATTCACGCATCGCAGGATTTTTTTAGCACATCAGCGAGCAGAAGATTATTGATAATTCCGCAACGATAGAAATTTCATGAACACATGAAACACAACATGCACGTTAACATTAATCTCTAGTACTCATATATATTTGATTCTCATTTTACGAAATGTAAAAGATGATTTCAATCAAGGCAACGTTCACGTAGTATGTCTTGATTAATGTTAATGGCTAATGGTTTAACTTTCAAGACTAAATGTGAATTTTTTAGCTAACATTTATGCGATGTTATTCGTATATAGACTGAATTTAATATATTTAATATATTTAATATATTTATATGCGAAATTTACAGTAAATTCTGCATATAAATGTAACATATAATTTATTTGGATTTTTCTGTCTTCCTTACTCGAACTTATATTCAAACTATTGAAATTTTACAATATAAAATAATTGATTTTTTGCTTTGGTATAATGCTTGTGCATGAAAGATTGAAAAATTGAGGATAATTTTATTTTAATTGAAACATATTTTTATTTTAATACTATTTTAAGAAATATTTTTTGGATGTGTGTTTGGATGTGTTTGTTTTAAATGCTACGTTGGACACGATTTAATGATTAAAATATGCTTTAAACATTTATTTTGAACACAAATGTTGAAAATATGATATATTTTTAATTTTTTGTACTCTTAATAAACTTTACAAAAGTTTTTTTTTTTAATAATATAATAATATCCAAAACAATATTCATAAATAAGAATTTAAGAAACTAGAAGTTACTAGAAGATCTAAAACTCTAACATTGACTTAGTTTACACCGATTGTTTAGTACGCGTATCAAATACTAAATCTGCTTCTCCGATAGGTATAAATCGTTTAGTGTAAAATCTACACCAATCAAAGAAGCTGATTTAGTATTTGATACGTGTACTAAACAATCGGTGTAAACTAAGCCATTGTACATACGAGGTGTCAAAAAATCCATGTTTTACTTTTCTCAAAATCTATTTAAGTTGAGAATAATTTAAAATTATTTTTATACGACGATTAAAGTTATTAGAATAATGCGTCTCTCTTTAATATAACATCTTTCCATTTTTACGACACCATCTTTCTATTGAGATTATACAAACAATTATTTCAGAAATCGTGTAAATAGTGTGTGGTAGTTCATCTCTTTCTTATCACATCAGTCATAAATAGTAAATCATCTTTGTCGTCATGACGCATAAGCAAGAATTTAACTCGCAACATGAGGTCAATTACTTGAATTTCTTAGTAACCGGTCGCGCGCGCACATCTGTGTAGGCAACTTCCGGCAGGATTCACGAATGTTAAGCAATGTTCAGCAAGTCAACATGACGACATACACGCTGTCCTTGACAAATGTAACATCCTGTTGTGGCGATATTGTCATTAATTTAAATTACGATTTAGACGCCAAAATGATATTCCTTTTCCGGCATTACACTTAACAGAAAATTATCTCATTTCTCTTGTTTCCGGTTAAATTTTTTCTGACTTGTTCATTTCTTCGTATATGCAGGCATAAAAATTTAACACGAGAAAAAAGTCTTTTAAAATAGTTAAAAAATAATTTTACGTAAGAATTTCTTTCAATATTATTTATAGAGAAAAACAAATTGCTTTCGTATATTTTTCAAAAATTAAAGATAAATGTTTGAAAATATTTTACAATACATAAAATATATAATTATGACAAGAAATTTTATTTTGCATTTTTGTTAAAATATTAATTTTTTTCATAAAATTAGTTTTCCAACAACTTTACTCACTCTGCACCTAAAACTTTAATCCAGTTTGCTTTATTGCAAAATGAGCAATCAGATTAAATAATAATATTCACGAAAATAGAAAAATTTTTAAGGCTTATATATCCTACAAATTTCTTATATGTATAAAACATAAGTTATATAATTTCAAAGAATTATATTTTTTTAATGTTTAAAATAAAGCGAAAAATAGTAGAGAAAAGAGTCGACACTTGACAATGTCCATTTTATTTTATGGCGTTACTTTTTCAACAAATATGCGAAAAGTGAATATGCATCTTTTAAATAAAATCTTTTGTTTTTTAAATAAATTAATTAATTTTTGCTCGACATTATCAATTTAAAAATATCGATTTATGTAAAATAAATATTATACAAACTATTTTCTGTATCTTATAATATAATATAAAAAGTACCTCTTCAGATATTTATTTCACAATTAGCTCATCTAATTAGCCTGAACAAGAAAAAATTGCTTTTAGAATCAAAAGATTCATCCTTTTAATTGTATTTTTATAAAGTTTATAAAGTCCATAAAATATCCGTATGCCGATTATTCCCTACATTTTAAGTTAGTGCTTTAAAATGTAATAAATATTTAAAGAAGCAATTGATTTCTTTTCGAAATAATATTGTAAATATCATAAATATGGGCAAAATTATTATTTTGGGCATATTTTTGACTTTTTGACTTTCTTAAAATCCTGAGATATGATACACATACCTTTATGCATGGAGGCCGGATTTGAATTCGATGTATGAAAAAAAGCTATGAAAAACTACTTTTTTTTAGACAGAAAAAAATATCTAATTTTGCAGGCCAATGTAATAAAAAAATGCATACATTAATGTTTTTTTTTTTTTTTTTTTTTTTTTTTAAAGAAATTGCGTCTGCATGCTTGTCGTATACGCTGTCCACCATTCCAACTAGAATAAAACAAACACATGCAATGTATGTATAACTTACGAGTGAAATCGTTTGCGAGACAAGCACCCCATTCCTGCCTGGATAGCTTTAAATCCCGATCTAGGTCGCACGTGCGAGCAAATGTTCGTGCGCATTTCTTCGGTCTCACCGCTTTCTTAGCGAGCCTTCGGAGCTCCTTGTACTCTGCCCTGTCTAAGAATCCGTCCCCATCTTTGTCCAAGGTTATAAATTTCCATGACAATATCTGCTCAACATTCTTATCATCTATTGACAGATAAGCAACAAATATTTGAGAATTTATATAATTTTGAAAATTATACTAGCTTTTTAGAATAAGAGCATTGTGTCTATTGATTTTTTAAACAGTAAAACAATACGAATTGAAGAAAATTATTTTAAAAACCAAATCAGCTAGAACTTGATTTTACAAGTTTAAACACGTTCCGTGCCGAGCCGTTTTTACGTGACTTTCGAGTCAGGCTGCATATATCACCGATGGCCCACGCTGGCGCATTTATTATTTGAGCACAAACCCACGTGTATATTATGCGAAATTTAAAATTGAAAAATGTATTATCAAAATAAAAATTTTACAAAATGTAGTGTAGAATAAAAGAAATAAGTTATAAAATATTTTAGATAATGTATTTGTTTGTATTCAAAATACTAAACGGCCTGAAATGGAAAGTTCTACGTGTGCCACCGCGAAAAACTAAATGTGTTAATATGACTTTTTAAAAAACATTTTTAAATGTAAAAACACTTTGAACAAAAAAAAAAAAAAATTTTGCACTTTTAAGATAAATTAAAGTTAAATTCTTATTTTTTATATTTTTAAAACTGCTCATCATGAAAAGTTAATGTTAGCTAACTTTGTTTCTCACATTAATTAGATTAATCATGTTAAACTAGGTAATTAATTAATAATTTTTAAAAATTCTTTTATTTTATGCCACTCACCATCAACAGATATGTTTATTCGTCTGTATTCAATCTTGAAATTCTCAATAAGATTTTCGTGAAATTTAGATTTCTCGGAACGATCGCAAGTATTCCTATGTCTGTTACTGACATATTGTCTGCGCTGTTTCCAACTCGGCGAGCGTCGTCTTTGGCCGTTCCTAGTGGATGCAGCAGATCTGGAACCGAGTTTCGAACATCTCGGTTTTTGATGTCTTACCGACGTATCGGGCAACGGCCGGCCTTGCTTCGTTACACACCAACAATATCCACTCTCCATGTGACATTGTACCGGCGCATATGTTCCATCGCTTCGGCAGACAGGTTGTGCGCCCGATCGAGCGGTTAATCTTGCTGAAAAACACGCTGGTGTTTCTGGATATAAAAATATTGTCAGGTGTTTGCAAACTTAACTTTCAATATTGTTCTATTATAAATGATAATAATATATAAATTAGAAAATTAAATTTAAAAATATTTTATGTTAAATCTGAGTCGGAGA